GGAATTGGATGAGACCAATTCGAGCCTTCTCCATACGGGCAGGACCACCAGCGTTCTTGAGCACAGGCTGGGTGAGAACGAGACCATCAACAAGTTCGCTATCTTCAATTGTTCCACCAACTCGCTTGACAATTCGAATGTTCTTAAGATCGACGTTATCGGCGGTCTTCAGGTCGATGGTCTTAGTCACTGAGTTCACCGCCATGGGTCCAAGCAAATTCGAGTATTGGGAGACAATCTTGGACGACAGAGAGGTGTTGGCAGCTTGCAGTAACGAGGAAGTATCGCTCAGAGTGATTGGGAGGGACATGTCGTGTAGGACCTCTACGGCAGCAGCGGCAGCTCGTTGGAAGGACTCGGAGATGACGGAAGGGTGGATGCCCTTGGAGAGAAGTCGGTCGGCAGCACCAAGAAGACTTCCGCAGATAACGACAACAGATGTTGTACCGTCACCAGCCTCAACATCCTGGGCACCAGAAAGGTTGACAAGCATCTTTGCTGTGGGATGCATGACAGACATGCTCTTGAGCATGGTGTTTCCATCGTTTGTGATAATGGTCTCGCCCCTTCCACCTCGAATCATCTTGTCCATTCCTCGGGGACCGAGAGAGGTTCTGATGGCGTCCGCGACAGCTATTCAACCGTTAATATCTGTGAAGCTTGTTGTTGCACCAAAGGCGCCATACCTCTAGCGGCGACAATGTTCGAGGAGCGCACCGCCATGGGCTTCTCCTTATCCTGTCTAGAGTTAGCGGGGTGAAGCTCAAAAACCTGTCTGGAGCTCTTCATACTCGGAAAGTAGCATTGCTAGAGCCTCCCGCTGTAGGGGCTGGAGCTGCGACAGGGGCAGACATGTTTTGATAATAATTTGGCGGTCCCTAGATCCTCAAAGCAAAGAAGTGATGTTGATGGCGGGGCTTTGTAGGAACACGACTGGACTTCTTGGAGATGTCCCACCTCCCCTAGGCTGCCCTACTCCGCCATGGAATTGTCAACCTAGAAATTTTGGATCGGGGTTAGAGATCATCCAGCTCCGACAGGTTCCTTGAGCTAACTCTGAACGTCCTAGTCTGCTTTTGGCTCCAGCGGCACTATTACGTGGGTCCGTGCTCCAAGCTCGCTCAAGGCAACTCACAGATTACGGAAGGCATTCGGTGACACCTCCAACCCCAAACAATCACGACCACACCAGCAACAATTCGACTCTCTTTGATCATAGTTTATCCACCAGTGCCTTCGTAAATACAGAGCCCTCATATAAAACCCTCGAAACACTATTATCAGATTGGAGAGCCGCGGTCCTCATCATGGTCAGTCTCATTGCAGGCATACAAGCTTCGTTGTGTCCTATCCCATACTGACAGCCAGCAACAGCCTTCCGCAACCGGCTCCAACTGGGAGAAGTACCAGAAGAACTTTGCCGACGATGAGGTAGAAGAGAAGAAGATCACACCTCTAACAGACGAGTACGAATGCCCTCCTGGAAATGAGAGTGCGATTAGTACGCTAACACCAGCGTCAGGGATATTCAGGTTCTCAAGACGTACGGTGCCGCGCCTTATGGTACATCTATCAAGAAGCTCGAGAAGCAGATCAAGGAGAAGCAACAAAGTGTCGATGAGAAGATCGGCGTCAAGGTTGGGCGGGAATTCTGCGAACGTAGGACAGACTTCTAACATCAATAGGAATCCGACACAGGACTCGCGCCCCCACATCTATGGGATGTCGCCGCCGACCGTCAGCGAATGTCTGAAGAGCAACCTTTCCAGGTGGCACGTTGCACGAAAATCATAGCTGACGAGAAGGGCGACGAGGCCAAGAGCAAATATGTGATCAACGTGAAGCAAATCGCAAAATTCGTTGTCCAGCTTGGAGAGCGCGTCAGTCCTACCGACATCGAAGAAGGCATGCGCGTGGGTGTCGACAGGAATAAGTACCAAATCATGCTTCCCCTACCGCCCAAAATCGATGCGAGCGTTACAATGATGACGGTGGAGGAGAAGCCCGATGTCACTTACGGCGATGTTGGTGGTTGTAAGGAGCAGGTTGAGAAGCTACGGGAAGTTGTCGAAATGCCTCTACTGTCTCCTGAGCGCTTTGTCAACCTCGGTATCGATCCTCCCAAGGGTGCCCTCCTCTATGGTCCTCCTGGAACCGGAAAGACCCTCTGTGCCCGAGCTGTTGCCAACCGAACAGACGCCACCTTTATCCGAGTTATTGGTAGCGAGCTGGTTCAGAAATATGTCGGCGAGGGCGCAAGGATGGTTCGAGAGCTCTTCGAGATGGCCCGTACAAAGAAGGCATGCATCATTTTCTTCGACGAGATCGACGCCATTGGTGGTGCTCGATTTGACGATGGTGCTGGTGGAGACAACGAGGTTCAGCGAACTATGCTGGAGCTTATTACGCAGCTTGATGGTTTCGATGCTCGTGGAAACATCAAGGTTATGTTTGCCACCAACAGACCCTCTACATTGGACCCTGCGCTCATGCGACCCGGCCGTATCGATCGAAAGATCGAGTTCTCACTGCCCGACCTTGAGGGCCGTGCTAACATTCTTCGCATCCACGCTAAATCCATGTCGGTTGAGCGGGACATCCGATGGGAGCTCATCTCTCGTCTCTGCCCCAACGCAACGGGTGCTGAGCTGCGCAGTGTTTGCACCGAGGCCGGCATGTATGCCATTCGCGCAAGGAGAAAGGTTGCATCCGAGAAGGATTTCCTCAGTGCAGTTGACAAAGTCATCAAGGGTAACCTCAAGTTCAACTCGACGGCGACGTATATGCAGTACAACTAGACATACTCACCATAAGGCAAGGTGTATTTTAATGCGGTGTATGAATACAGGGCAATTGGATGGCGGGAACATAGACGTCACAATGAACAAATTGCTTCTACAAGCATGCTCAAAAGTGAATTGCATTAATGACTTAGTTTGTTGTGCTCCCGATGCCATAATGATATATGCAGAATCTATCTACTGTGAAATTACCCCGTGATTCACTTGCAATCCGGATGCCACAAAACAAGACCATCAAGGTCCTAAAAACCGAAACACCGTTCCCGTGATATGCCCATGAACGCTAACGTGCTATATGAGTCCACTTCCATACCATCCAACAGAGCAGATGCGTCGCTCAAAATACCCTGCAGAACTACCTTACCTGAGGCAGATGTGTGCGCCCAGCTTAAGCCCAAGAAAACCATCATTATTCATCCATCAAGTCCCGTGATATCATGCATGTTCCGACTCATGAGCATTCCATCCGGGAAAAGCAGCCCAGGCATGCGACGTCTCCTTCTGCTCCACACTCAATACTGCACCGACTGCAAATAACAGCCCGGTGTCCAGCAGCGTTCCATCCCTTGTCCGTTTGCCGTGCTCCGTTCTTCGTATCGTTCCGTTCTTGTTGCCGTCCATCATCAACATCATCCATGTGGAACGACCTCGAAAGTACTTCTTGCTCCGAGACACCAGAGCCACCATCCGGATTCCAGCCACGGCATTCTCTGATACAAATGAAGCAAGTGCGCTCGCCACATCCCTCACAATTAGCAAAGGAGTCGAGATCAGATTTCTTGGTTGGCTTGCGGTGGCAGATGTTACAGGGAACAAGCAGAGCGCCTGTCACTTGAGATTTGGCAAAGGCGGGCTGCACCGACAGCATCTTAAGTTGCGATGAGCGCCGTCGGCGGTGGGGCGCATTGAAAGAGAAACTCGAAGCGTTGAGACCGTCAGTGATGTGAATATCGTCGCCGATAATACGGGTTCGCTTAGAAACCGGAAGGACCTTTCGCAAGGCTGAGTCCGGCAGTTGGTCGAGAATATAATAGTCCTTGGCCTCCTCTGAAGGGTATAGAGACAATCTAGGCTGCTCATTATCGTCGCTCCATCGTCGCTTGCGTCCTGCGTGGGCGTCTTCTCCAACGAAGGGCATCGTGGTGTGGTCCTTGCCAGGACTGATTAAGTATGTGCAGCGAGGCAAAATTGAGTATGGCAGCGAAGCTAGTGTAGGCAAGACTCGACACTGAACAAAACGCTACTGAAGTATCCCAGTGGCTCCAGAAGAAAGGCGAACAAGACAACAACCCAGTATGAGGGCGTGGAGGTGAGAGGAGGAGGTTGAGAACCAAATAGGATTGAAGGGGAGTGGTTAAGAGGAGCAACAGTGACTGGTCAACTAAAAGAAGGCACCTGCTGTAACCTAGGTAGGTAACTTAGTGAAAAGTGGTTCCTGTTTGGTTAATTGAGTGGAGGGTTGAATGTTTACTATGGAGCTAATTATCGTCCAATGACAAGGGAGGAGGCCTGGACGTTAAGTGAACAAACCACTGGAGCCATTCACGCATTTAACGGTTTGATATAGAAGGCAGCATTGGAATTCGTTTTCACGGCTTGTCATAAATTCTCGCCAAGTTGAATTATAGAATTTAGTGAGGCTACAATCAGGATAGCACTGATAGTTATATCTCAAGGCAATAACACAAACTCAAAGTCCCTCCTTGACAGGCATTTCAAGGCATCCTGATGAGCCCGAGACAAGACCCCCCAGGTATCACTGTCATCTGTTGAGTATTGACAATGAGACATTAGTCAGCTGTGTAACTGAAATCCGTTCTGAATAAAAGAGTATAACATATAAGTGTGGGGTGGCGTCGAACGGTGCCGTTATAAACTTGACCAAGGTTTGTGATGAGAACCCAATGAACTCGGATTGTTAGATCAGGACATGAGAATCATGTATATCTAGCATTGAAGATAGGGAAAATGGCGGCCACGAGTACAGAGAGCTTTCACATTTTTACCGCCCATCAGCCCTGCATATTTCCCAGTGTAAGGTAGTTTGTCGAATAAGGTATTGAAAACGATTCATCTGATTTACACTCTAACATCCACCTTTCCTTCCACGACCACGCTTCTTTTCTACCCGCCACCGCCGACAAAGGAGCTGATCTAGGGGCGACTAGTATACAAATGAGACTTTGAGATGTTGACCCTTTAGCGGCGGACCTTGACCTCCTTAGGGGGATCGTAGGCGATCTTTCGAGACTTCAACCAAGCCCACTTGTATCGCTTTACCCAGACACTGACGGCCCACAGAGAGGCAGAGACGACAAGGACCTTCATACCCATTCGCTTTCGGTCGTCCATCTCGGGCTCGGCAGCCCAGTTGAGGAACTCGACAACATCCTTGGCCATCTGAGAGGTGGTGGCGGGAGTACCATCCTCATACTCAACGAGACCGTCGTAAAGGACACGGGCCATGGCGATACCGGTACCGGGGAAGTAAGGGTTGAAGTTCATGCCGGGAGCGACCTGGACACCAGCGGGGGGCTCTTCAGGGTAGCCGGTGAGCAAGCTGAAGATGTAGTCACAGCCACCGTGACGGGCCTTGATGATAAGAGACAGATCCGGGGGAAGAGCACCGTTGTTGGCAAATCGAGCAGCCTCCTCGTTTTTGTAAGGAGGCAGCATGTAATCGGCCAGCTTTCCGGGGCGCATCTGGATCTCGCCCTGCTCATCGGGCTCACCGGGGTACTCGTTCTCCTCGGCAAGGGCCTTGGCCTCGTCAACGGTCAAGACGGAGCCAACGAGAGTTCGGTAGGGGATTCGGCTGAGGGAGTGGCAGGACTGGCAGACCTCCTGGTAAACCTGGAAACCACGGCGGAGACTAGAAGGGGGTCAGTAATTCGACACGGCGTATTCAGCAGGATCGGTGGCATCTTACGCCTGATGGTCGAAGGTCTTGAACCACTTGTTGTGAACCCAAGGGTACTTGGTAGGGTGAAGTCTATATGGGCACTGTTAGCAATTGGTGATGCAATAACAGTGCGGATCATCGATAGCCAGCATTTATGCCTCATCATCCAAATTGAGATGATCCAGAAGCACAGCAATCAAGAACCGAGAGTATCACGTACCCCTCTTCAGCGGGAGTCATAGCAAAGGCAACAGGTCCATAAAGGTGATAGTACCAGGCCATGGAGCCGAGGGCGAGGGTAGTCGAGGCGGCGGCAGCCAGGTTCAATCGAGTGGCAGAGGCATCGCTGGCGGCGCTGGAGCTCGAGGAAGCGGCACGCTGGGAAGAAGATGGGGTCAGCAATCGTGTACATGCAATTGAGGCGCATTCTTTTGCGATTGGCGTGGCTGGGGCGTGTTGGGGTTCGTGGTTATGACATCTCGGCAAACGGGAAGCTCGCTGGCAGAGGTGTAGGATCGTGCCATACCTTGGTGACAGCAGAAGGGCCGTTCCGGAGGCCATTGAAGGTGCGCGTCGAGCGCAAACACGACCTGGCAAGCATTATGGGCGAGCTATACCGTCGCTGGTGCGATCGAATATGAGACGGCGAGATGGGGAGGTCGTTCTCGGAGTCGGAGGACAAAAGGGCTCAAGCAGAGATCATTAGCAGCATCAGACAAAATCCTATCGAGCGTTCCAATAAGCCGGCTCTGATTGGATGCGGGTCGGATTAATGTCACGTGTTCGACCACTCTCGCCTTGCTCGGCTGAGCGGCCAGGTGACTTCCGATGAGTGAGTGTTCCAAATTTTTCCGACTCCCGGGTTGAAGTCGGGTTCGGTTTGGTCCATGGATACTGACAGTCAGTCTACTGAGTATTTGCATAGGACAGTAGAAACAATCGATGTAAGGTGTTTCTTACACGTAACAATTGTAACGACGAAGCGGTTCATGACTATTTGAATAATGTTTCAATTCATCAAGCCATCTTCAAATGATCGAATGAGATGAGTAATATCTGATATATTCCTGTCTGTTCATAGTCTACTCCCTCATTGACAAGCTGCTCTGAGTAAGTAGTAGCTCTGCTGCCCATGGCGATGGGAAATTACATAAAAAAGTTAGGAAATGCTCTAAGCCTGATCAAGAAGCCTAACTACTGCCTAATTCTGTCTGCTACCCCACCCCCACCTTGACTTGATTCACCAAATACCGGCGACATTCTTTTGTTTTTATTGTATCGCCGACTTTTCCTTTCAGACTTGGTCGTCACCATCTTTGCTGTTCGATTCTGCGCAAATTTCTCTTTTCTCAATTAACTATAGAATGGCTTCTTCCGATAAGATCTTTTCCCTCGAGGGAAAGGGCCTCAAGCTCGACACTGCTGAGGATCTCGAGCCTCATATTGCCCCTCTTCGATCCACAGACGTCGAAGAAGTTCGTATTTTGGGCAACACTCTGGGTGTTGGCGCCTGTAAGCTTCTTGGCGAGGTTCTTGCGACCAAGAAGAACCTGAGAGTACGTCAAACATCACCTTTGCCTGGCTGCTATAACTTACCAATACACTTCTCTAGGTCGCAAACTTCGCCGATATCTTCACCGGCCGACTCCTGAGCGAGATCCCTGACGCCATCTCTTCGCTGCTCACCTCCGTCCTCAACCTTCCCAAGCTCAACACTATCAACTTAAATGACAATGCCTTTGGGTTGAACGTCCAAGCGCCTCTCGTGGCCTTCCTAGCCGCCCACGTGCCGCTGCAGCACCTTTACCTGAACAACAACGGCATGGGCCCTCACGCTGGTATCCTCATCGCCGATGCGCTCTCCGAGCTTCACGCCAAGAAGGAGGCTGCCCGAAAGGAAGGAAAGGAAGTTCCCGATCTCGAGACTGTTATTTGCGGCCGAAACCGATTGGAGAATGGAAGTATGACGGCGTGGGCAAAGGCCTACAAGCTGCACAACAAGATCAAAGTGATCAAGATGGTCCAAAACGGTATTCGACAAGAAGGTATCTCCCACCTTCTCGCCGAAGGTCTCAGTCACGCCTCCAAACTCGAGGTTCTCGACCTGCAAGACAACACTTTCACCGTCACTGGGGCCCGAGCTCTGTCAAAGGTTGTTGCCAACTGGACCTCGCTCCAGGAGCTGGGAGTTGGTGACTCCCTACTTGGTGCCAAGGGTGGTGTCCTCGTGGCAGATGCTCTGGCTAAGGGAAATAATGCTAAGCTTGAGACCCTGCGTCTACAATACAACGAAATCACCTCCAAGGGTATCAAGGCCTTCGCCACTGCCGCCAAGGATGGTCTTCCTGCTTTGAAGCGAATTGAAATCAACGGCAACATTCTCACGGAGGACGACGAGTCAATCCCCGTCCTTCAGGAGCTTCTCGAGGAGCGCAAGGAGAAGTTCGGTGGTGATATTGTCAACGAGGATGAATGGGGTGTTGACGAGCTGGAGGACCTTGAGGAGCCAGACAGTGACGCGGAGGAAGAGGAAGAGGAGGAAGAGGAGATTGAGCCTGAGGACCGAGCCGAGAAATTGATCAAGGAGGCCGAGGAAGCTCAAGAGGAACCTGTTATTCCTGTCAAGGACAAGGAGGTGGATGAGTTGGCAAAGAAGCTCGAGAAGACTGGAATTTAAACATGGATACCTATAGATGAACTGCATGATGATGACCATTCACTTCACAAGGCGTGAATGGAATTTGATACCCCTTTACAACAACTTGGACAGCCAAAATAAAGACATGGACGTGACTTGTTACACGTAAACCAGCAGTTTTAGGAAGTCGAAAACATGCAGTGTTTACCAGAAAGTTTTTTTATTGATTGTTGTTAAATACATAGTGGGCGAGTGCCTGGCATATATATACTGCTAAGAAGTATATATGAAACACCACACTCAGGGAGCACATTAAGTGAGTTGCAGCCCCAGAAGGCAAGCGTTGAAAGGGACAACGTACCTGTGGCGAACAAAACTGCCGCCCTTGCAAATACTCTCTAGGTAGAACTAATTGTTAGCATACACTGCAAAGACTTGACGAGGGCAAACTGGAAGAGGGAGCAAAATGATTTGCAAAAAAAAAGTGAAAGTTCCACCAACGCCGCCCTATCCACTCCCCTTTGGAAGCCAGTCTCTCATGATAAACTCATTCAGCAACTTGATAACCATACTAAGCAACAAAACCCAAACAATGACTAACAGCCGATGGCTCTATCAAACAAATCCCTTTCCTGTACCCACATTCGCGTACAAGCTGTCCACCTCATATGATATCCCATCACCATCCCGAGCTTCTATGTAGATTGACCATTGAACATCTGGTCGTACTATTCTGCTGCTCGGTTTGGACAGGCGATGTTTATTTACATGACATCCATAGTGTCCACCTCTGGTGCTCGGAATCCTTGGTAAGCGCCGTACTGAGTTGCCATCTCCAGCAACTGCTGTTCACGAGCGTAGTCCGGGCCCATGTAAACAGGGTCTGTGGCGTGTGAGTAGAGACCATAGGTGCTCCTGGGCTGGCTGTCCTGGGTCTCTCTTTCGCGCTCTCTTCGCATCAGCTCCTCGTAGCCAGAAGTCATGTATGGTTCGACCTCAGGCTCTGAGTTACGAACCCACCTACCATCAACTGCCTGAACTTGAGTACCATCCAGACTCATGACTTGTTGCTGCTGGTTCAGTCGCTCGTAGCGCAAGCGGGCAAGTTGTTCCTCATGTTCCACGGTGGTGCTACTCCAGGCGAGAGCTGGGATATCACCGCCATTTCCGGGAGGACAAATGTTCCAAAGCTCAATAAGTCTCTCTTGCTGAGAAGGCTCGGCAACTTTGAACAGCTGAAGTTGTGAGGGAGTCAGAGTAGCTGGATTAACACCATGGTGTTGCAATATAGCTTCAACACTGGGTCCTTGCGTCTGGGGTGGCTCTGAAGCACGACGAGGCACGTCGTGGTGTTGAGCTGCTTGAGCTATGTGTGCAGAGTGGGTGTAGTGGACTGAAGTATAGATGATGGGCTCAGCATGATCGGCCTTGGGCTCTTGTTGTGGTGCAGGGGCAGGCTCGGGAACTGGGTTGAAGCTGAGGTTACGAGCCAGGAGAGCAGCAAGCTCATCCTGTTGCATGGAGGACGAAGAAAATGACATGGTTGGTTCTATTGTTTCTGAGAGTTGTTAGCAGTTGATGCATGATATTGAGTTCAAAGGTAGTTGCTGAATACCAACTGTGGTGCGGTTATGTGTATCAACAGGAGCACGACAAGTTGTTGCTTTTGATATCAGAATAAAGAGACGGCGACTGTAACTCTTGGGCTCGTCTGCCTATTTTAGCTCAACGCGTTTTTGATGAAGTCTGGTTGAGATAGCAAGGGATTCGAAATGAAGCGATATACGGAGGTGTTTCGGGGTCATGCGCAATGCAGATGAAGAAAGGAACAGGAGGATGCCCTTGTTCTTTGTTATATTTGGAAGCTAAGCTAAGCTTTTCGACAAGTAGTCAAAGGGAAGCAGACAAGGCCAATAGAGAAAGAACGAGAGATATGTATAACAGAGGGTTGGGTCAAGAAAGAGAGGTTCGTCTCTTGTTCTTTGGCTCAAAAGACCCTTGATTAGGCCTTGACTTGGAGGGGCTTGTCTAAGAGCGGTGGACCGTTGGGTCGAGTTGCAGGGACCGCACGGGGAAGGGAAGTGAGTTGTGAGTGGAGAGGATCTTTTGGGGCTTCTTTATGCAGTTTTCAAGTGAGATGATGAGACTTTTGAAGCGCAAGGGCGCTCTATGATGCTTATTCGGATCCAAATAATCGCGAGCGTTGTTAATGAAAAGAGAATCAAGAGTGTTTCCAGGAGTAGGTGATGGAAGCGCGGGGGATGTTTCTATCCAAAAAAGTACATGGAGGGGTAGGCACCTTACCTTACCTTACCTCATGAAACGTAGGACAGCTCAGTGGGACACACACCTGCCAATTCATTTGCTCAGGCACCCTTCTCAGGTCATGACGCAGTAAAGATCCGACTAACAGAGGCACATGATGGGCTTTATGACAACATCCACTTCCATTCACCTCCAAGCACTAAACTTGACGCTTTTAGTGCATCATTTGTCTGTTCATCTTCGCTCCCAGGTAGTATTGCTCCCAGATGTCTATGTCTATACTCTGTCGAGGTACCGATACCCCCCATTCACTGGCCTCATTCGCGCCTTCACGGAAGGATTTACACTCTTCCAACTCCAAGAGCTTCAAACCCTGGTCTTATTGACCTTGTGCTACCCAATAAGCCTGTGCCACAAGGCGACCGTAACACACTAATTACTGTCCTTATGCTCTAGCTTATTAACGCCGACATGGCCGTCTGTTCCATCTGCATTCCGTTTCCGAATCATCTCCTTTGACGTGGCTCACTCAGTTTCGCCACGTTCTCAGTCATTCTGGGTCGTGCATATCATTCTGTGAATCAAAATATACCTACCTACCTAGGTAGCACGAGATGGAAATCTACGGATCTTTCACTACCATATTCAGCTCCCTTAGGTTCCAACAAACGTGAGACTCACCGCCAACTACGAAACAGTCATGTCTATGCCCCCAAGGTGTTATAGTGGTATTTTTTGGTCTTCAACTGTTGACGCTATAAGCTCTTACCTGTCTTGGCAAGAGACCTGCAAACTTGGCGGCGTACGTAGGGAACTTGAGTCTCGATATTAGCCTGGTCTCACTTTCTCCCTTAGTCTTTCAAAGCGTCAAAGTTGCGGGGGACAGAGACTACTAGGTATGAGGTATTAAAAAATATCCACGAGTGATAGGTACCTAGTACCTATATATGACTTGTACTTGAGGAATGTCGTGAGAAAAATATCATGCTATAATAAAACATCATGTTATGTCGATCCAGTCCCAAGACCTGGTGCCCTCGGGAAGCAAGAAAACGTCAAACCTTGATACAGGGTGTAAAATTAAACTTAGCAACAGGTACTCCTAAGCTTATACCAAGTTACCTAACTCTTTTGATCGTTTAGGATCGAAGTCCTGAGTTTTCTTTCTTCCCCTAGCTGGCCCACTGCATGCAATCCATGGATGTCTGATGTGCAGTTCTAGACTCTAGCTGTCTAGATCCATGAAAGGTCTCCTCCTGCAGGGGAGATCGATGCACTCGGGAAGAGCTAGAGGGATCCGCCACTCCCGCTTTCACAGCCACGTGTGTGCCAGCTCTCAAGGCTGAGCTGAATGTGGCGTAAGAAGCGTGGCGCTTGGTTGTGGCGCACACCCTTTACACCTCAGGCATCAGTTCTTCAGCCTTGCAAGTAGGTACCATACCTCAACTGCAACACGCAGCTCCAGGCTGCCTGGGTGAAGGAAGCTCCAAGTCAACACCGTCGCAAGCATCTCGACAACACAGCTCCCCTCCACTTCACCAATTCCCACCCCATCTTCTTTTGCCTTTCGCATCACGCTATTTCACTTGATCAGAAAATTCAGACATCATGGTAAGCTAACCCCTCCACTCGCTCAAGCCTGATTGTCGTCATTGAGAGACAGCTTCAAGTGCTGACCTAGCCTGTCTTTCACCCTCTAGACATCGATAGGCACGGGCTATGATTTGCTCAACTCCATCTTCTCTCCTGATGGACGCAACTTCCAGGTCGAATACGCAGTCAAGGCAGTAGAGAATGGCGGTACCTCGATCGGTATTCGAGCTAAGGATGGTGTCGTCCTAGCTATCGAGAAGGTCGTTTCATCCAAGCTCCTAAAACCTGGTGCCAACAAGCGTATTACAACTATCGATAGCCATGTCGGAGCTGTACGTAGACCTACCTGCCACGGCTAGGATGAGCTTGTACTAATCTCACCAGGTATCTTCTGGTATGGTCCCTGATGGACGTCACTTCGTTGATCGCGCTCGCGACGAGGCCCAGAGCTGGCGACAGAACTTCAAAACCCCCATCCCCACATCCGATCTTGCCAGCCGCATGGGTGGCTACCTCCAGGCCTACACCATGTACGGTTCAGTTCGACCATTTGGCATCACCGCTATCGTGGGCGGCTACGATACTCCCGAGGAGACCCCTGTCGATGGAGAGGTTGGCTCAGGACCCAAGGTTGGCGCTGGTGGCAAAGTCGAGGGCAAGCACGGCGGTCCTTTTCTTTACATGATCGAGCCCAGCGGTATGTACTGGGGTTACTACGGAGCGGCTACAGGCAAGGGTCGACAGGCTGCCAAGGCCGAGTTGGAGAAGCTTGACCTACCTGCTGGTAACATTACTCTAGAGGAAGCTGTCAAGCAGGCTGCGCGCATCATCTACATTGCGCAGAAGGACAACAAGGACAAGGATTTTGAGTTGGAGATGACCTGGATCAGTGGGCCTGACGGCCCTACCAAGGGACGACATGTCGAGGTGCCAAAGGAGCTACGGGAAGAGGCTGAACGATTAGCAAAGGCCGAGGACGAGGATGATGATGACGACGACGAAGACGAGGATGCAGAGGATGACAAGATGGAGGATTAGACGAGTTATGCTAAGAAAAATCAAGGCACCTGTACTATCACGATGACGAGCTCATAGAATTTAATAGTTCATCTGCAGGCATTCGAATTACTATCAGGCCATCGGGGAGCCAGAAACCATCAAGCCCTGAGATAAGGTGCCAA